TTCCTGAACAGTTCACTTATTGAACTGTACAAATATTGGTCCTTTATCTGTGTGTGATTGGGAAAATACCAAATATTGGTCAGAGGTCATAACATCTTTGTTTGCAAGAGTTTATGCAACTGGTTAAGGGATTGGAAAATATTTTAAGAATACATTTCTAATATTGACCATGCATAAAGTAATGTGATTGTTCATAGGTAGATTTCTAAGGGACACCTGATTTTTTATCAACCAGCTGTAACAGGCATGAATTGATAGGAATGGCAGGCACAGCAGATCCAAAAACTATAAGAAACTGTACTCTTCAAAAAGCTTGAAGCTTAAGCCCCAACATTGTTCAAACTGGACAGTAGCACAACTGTTTGATAGGATAGAGTGTGTGCTTGTTTTGCAGTACCACACTGCATTGTCTTAAAAGTTTAATGAAATGTCAAAACAGAGGCACCAAAACACTCCAAAACAACAACCCCACATGCCCTAAACCTTCTGCATGCCCACATCCCCAATTATCCTCAAAATATTCTAAATTTAGATTTCAGGTATGTGTTTGGTAGAAATTGGCTAGCATCAGCACAGTACCCAAGCACTTGCATAGGCAACAAATTGAAAGATCTCTGCAGTGTGGGCCTTTGCTGCCAACAGGACCATTATAGTCTGGAGCCTCTACCTGCAGCGTATCAGCCATGGTAAAAGTACCAGCCATTTGAGTATGACATGCATGAGGAAACATATGACTGTGCACCAAAGAGATTGGTGGAAGCAGCACCTCAATGATACCAGTCAGCGGCAAAAGGCTTGGTCTCAGTTTTGGTTAAAAGTTCTTGAGCACCCATGGTGAAAAGGCCAAAATGTGCCCCCTCCCCATGAACTGTGACTAGTTCAGCAGCATAGGTTGTAGATTTTGCTCTTTTTGCACTCCATCTCCTGCTGAAGAGCCCAATGTGGCTACCTATTTTGCCAACCCCATGGCCAAGCCAGGCCCTGCCTGCACTCGTCCTCCTTGTTCCTCAATTTATGCCCCATTCCGCTTCACATGATTTAAAGTTTGATGTGCTGCAACATCTGCAGCCCAAGTGATAAGGAGGAAAGTCTAACATGGAGTTTGAGAGGCATATCTTAAGGCACATCAAGTAGGGAAGAGGGTCAGGTTTGGCCACAGTGCTTACGGCTAAGCAAAGGCTTAAACCTCACCCTAAGTCTCCTTATCCCGCCTGGCTGTCTCTAGCAGCAGCATTGACTAGGAAAGTGTCTCTTCTGAATCCGCCGGTGCAGAAATAAAAAATGTGCCCTAATCACCCCCATGCCCAGCGTCTTAGTGCCGTCTTGTCAAAAATGCAAGGTTTACATCTGCTCCCATTCTAGCTTATGGAGTTGGTTCCCTTCCATGAGTTTATGGCCTGTGCTGCACCACAGTGGCAGGTACCCAGCTACTTTCCATGTGGAAGGTAATGTCTCTGTGTCACTGGATCAGGCGGTCAATGGCTATGGTTCACATGACCACAGACAAGCATGGGCAGGGACATTTTATCAACTCCATTGGCTGGTGACGGGGGGGATGCAGAATGGGGCACACGGCTGGGGCTGGTGGTGCCATTATGTGTCCCACACCATGGTAAAGGTCATCAAAGGTCATCATTCCCCTCTCCTCCTGAATGGCCTAATCTGGTGACTCCTCAAAACCACCAGTACCCACAAAAGCCCCAGAGCATATTCAAAGGCCCCAGGAAAATGTTACCAAGCTATTTTGCAGCTGGTATGCCTGGGGGGCAGAATACACACTGGACTAGAGATCCTGGCTGTTGTGCCAGGCAAGGTCATGACAATAGCATCAATAAGCTGGGTGCTGTTCGACATGGCAAGTTCACACACATTCCTTTCCTGGCACATGTGCTGAATCTGGTGGTGCAGTGCTTCTTAGTTAGGTGTCCAGGCTTCCAGGATGTCCTGAAGAATGTGCAGCTGCTTTAGGTGCTCATACCCAGCAAATGTTCGCCTGGCCAGATGGCTATCCCTGCCCTCCCCTGCCGTTGTTACAGACAACCTTGCCTGGTACAAGGAAGGTGTGGTGCTGGCAGTGAGGTGGAATTTTCACGGGGATGTTTCAACCCTCTGGCGTGTATCTATGCCACCATCCAGAAGGGAGCACAAAGTGCCCCGACCCCCACTCTAAGATAGCATGGCAGCTGCTGGCTCACCTCTGTACGGCTCCCCCTGTCATCCTTAGGATGACATATGGCATATACAATACAGCAGTGAGGGGAGCTCAATATAAACACCAGAATATGTTGTAGAAGCAGTAACAGGTATAAAATGGAATCTAACAATCTTGAATTCCTGTGAAACTTATAGTGCATGTCACTTAAAAAGTACTAAACAATTTATAGAAAGAAAGGGCAATCCTGTAAGTAGTATTAGGAATTTACTTTTTCAAGGTTAAAAATAATAAAAAATAAGGTCTGGTGACACAGAACTAGTATACCGTATATACTCGAGTATAAGCCGTCCCGAATATAAGCCGAGGTACCTAATTTTAGCCAAAAGGTCTGATTCTTGTTTAATGTAAGTATACATTGAGGGGAATATATGAAACATGGAGCAGACAAAATCTGAAGCAGTTGTCCATGGCAACCAATCAGCTTCTCTCTTTCATTTTGTTCAGTTAAGATTTGAAAATGAAAGAGAGAAGCTGATTGGTTGTTGTGCACAGCTGCTCCAGATTTTGTCTGCTCCAGTTTTGATGAATTCCCCTCACAGTGTATACATTACTATAGATAGCTCTGGAATTATGAGGAGCAGCCTGTGAACTGTGGGCAGAAAAAGCACTTGTGAGTCTTGTGCTCTAACAGGCTGCGCCTCTGCACAGTATATCCACTCCGGTGGTCACCCACAAAATATTCGTCTTCGGATTCTCTAACTGTTTGGCATACAGGGGAGGAAATGAGTAAATGGCTGAAATGAGGTGTCACTTTTTCCTTTCTAAACATCTCATCATTTCCTCAACACATCCTACACCCTTTTGTTCCTTTGAAAGCTAAAACTAATGGATGTGCTCTTTAACCTGTGGGGAGACCAGACTATGACCAAACAATGATCATGTTTAAAAAAAGTTGGATCATCTGTTACATGGATGGCTGAGTTTTCAAGGACTGTCTGTTCATTTAATCTCATTGACCAGACCTTATTGATGTCTCCTCTGTCATAGATCAAGGTCGAATGGTCTGACCTTGGTAGAGTTTTAGATTTCAACAACTAACTCAGTATTAATTGTATTGCAGGGAATTAAATGTCTTAACAGGGATAGGCAGAATGAGCAGAAAGTAGAGACAGGTCAGAACTGGAATGCAGAGGCTGCCCATCCCTGTCCTATAGTACATGAATGTTAGTTATTGTTTTACACCCCAATTCTCTAAACGTTAAAAAACATGGATTAAGCATTTTCTTCTCATTTGTAACAAGCACTGTGGCTGATTGCCTTTTTTTGAGGGGATGATGGTGTTATCATACATTATTGCTACATAACACATTATTGCTAGCTTATAACTCATCAGGACAAATCTCCATATTCCTAATACAAAGTTCTGTTCTAAGGAGTTTATTGGTTTGGTTTTTCTTTGTAATCTTTTTTTTTGTCTGTGAGAATATGTTTACTATTATAAGAGTGGCTCCTATGAAGGATGGTGTATTTCCACATTTGTAGTCAAATAGGGATACATCTACTACTACTGCTACTACTACTACTATTACTACTAGTACTATATTTGTTACATGTTCTCATTTACATAGATAACAAAATTCTGTTCATCTGTTCAGAAAACCCCATCCAAAGTGTTTCTCCTGCTATGCAGTTATAAAGGGGGACTGGTTGGAGAGTTAAATTGCATTTAAATCTTGAAAATGCATTCAAGGTCCTTGCCTATTAGCAAATATGTAACATATTTGTTGATCACTTAGCTGTAGTTTCCCAAATCATCTCTGAATTCATGTTTACGCTGTATTTCCTTCTGGAGGGTGGCTCCCTTTGTTCCCCATGATCCCCCATGATCCCTGTGTGTGTTGTGAAGTAGCCACTGTTCCAAGCTCACTCCCGCGATAGACTAAACACTGTCCATCACAGGAGCGAGCTTGGAGCGGTGGCTACTTTACAACACACAGGGACCATGGGGAACAACAGTAGCCACCCTCTAGAAGGGAGGACAGTGCCAGCACGAATTCAGAGATGATTTGAGGATCTACAGATGAGTGATAGACAAAAAAAAGTCCAGTATTGTTAATAGTTAAGGTACTTAAATGCATTTTTAAGATTTAACTCCTGAGTTTAGTGTCACTTCAAGCTTTAAGTAGCTATGACCCTCAGGAGAAGTTTTATGGCTCCTTGAAGAATTAGTCAGTTCAGCCTGCTGTTTCATGACGTTTGACATGTCTGAGCTAAGGACTGGCTTCAAAGAAAAAAAAGGATCTTACATCCAGTAAGCATTCTAACTTATGTTACTTTTATGTAATGTTGGTATACTGTTAAATGCTTTTAATCGCCATGGTATTACACATGAAACACGCAGTGACTTCAAAGACGGAACAGGAAAAGGTGTCATCACTGACATACATTTAAAGGCGCACAGACTGTACTTTCTTACTTTCATTAATGTTAATTTCTGTTTCAATAACAAAAATAAATGTCTCTCCAAGCATACGTTTTCATTGCGAGACTGTTAAAGTTAAGCCGAACTGACAGAGAAAATAAATGAATCGATAAAAGTCTAATAAATTGTTAGCCTTAGCTGTTGACTTATGCCTCTGGATAAATATTATGAATTATGGTTATATAATTCCTAAATCCAACAATAGGCCTTGTGCCAAGAGCTAGTGTAAAAAATTGGACCCGGGCAGCTGCGTCGCACACTAGATTTGATCACTCCGGTCCAGAGTGCCAAGAGATTTGAGACAGATGTTCTCAGACATGCCGCATGCCTAAAACATTTCCAGGGGACGGGCTGTAGAGAGAGAGAGAGAGAGAAAGAGAGCGAGAGAGAGACGGAGAAAGAGTGACTTAATAACGGCAGAAACAGCTGGAGTATGCAGGAAGAATCAGGAGTTTATTCTCCCCTAGGTGTACAGCAGCCAACCTCTTTACATTACATCTGCCTGTCAGAACTGGCTGTTTAAGCTGTTATGTAGCGTGCTGCACTTCTTTTTTCTTACACTTTCACTCTCCCTGTGAATAAAGTGCAGCATTGTGATTACTAATCCCGCTCTGGTGACTTGACTTTAATGTGGTCTTGGAGTAGATCCCGGCATTCTGTTTGCTAATCTTCCAATTGCTGTTTCGGAGATACCACTGGATATAGAGCAGATCTCACTGACAAATTGCCGCACTTCTGTCTGATATTTGTCACTTTAACAAATTTTTTTTTTTTGTCCATACCTTCGGAGGATACCAATGGATACCAAGCTGATTTGTCTATTTTTCCTTTTCTCTGTGCCTCCCCTGGCAGTGGGAAACCAGACAGGGCGAATCAAGGTGGTCTTCACACCCAGCATATGCAAAGTCACCTGTACCAAAGGCCGCTGTCATAACAACTGCGAGAAAGGAAACACTACCACACTTATTAGTGAAAATGGCCATGCCGCTGACACGCTGACATCAAGCAACTTCAGAGTAGGTAAGTACAACAGTAGATATAACTAGCTATGTATTTATGACCCTAATTTATTAATTATTGTGAGTCTTTCAAGTCTTTTAAAGTGCATTATGGGTGTTTTCACCTGGCTTTGCATGTTCTCAAGGCAGGTGTGTTTTTAATGTTGAATTTTATTGAAAGTTATGTATTAATTATCACAGTTTACTGTGCTTAGTCATTAACCCTTTCAAAATGTACAAAGTGGTGACCAGTCATTTTCTTTATCTGACTTCCGTCAATACAAATCTGACTGGATGCTTTGGACACTAGTACTATATCTTTGTTCATTGTAAAGGTTTACAGAAGAAGCCCCTATAGGATATATAAGAATATGTATGTGCTGCGTTAATGTTATTTGCTAGCCAGCTTTCATTCACTTTTAATGAATAACTAGACCAAGGCAACCTACCACTGATGACACTGTGGAACAATCCAAACTGTTGATCCTTAGCGGCCATAAAAGGCTAGTTGTTGAAATTGCTTGAAAATCAGGTTGTGTATGGCTGACATTAACTAGTGTTTGGTTCAGCCAATTGCTTAGGTGAAGCGATTGAAAAGAGGTAGGAAGGGAGGGGAGCTAAATGGGCAGATTTTGCCATTGCTCCCCACCTGTAATAGGGCAGGGGAAGTACCAATCGGGACCAATTTTGTTTTTGTTCAAAATTGCCTGGCCAATGTTCATGAAAGTGGCCAGCCAGCAGGAGGCTGCCTTTCTATATAGGCAGATTGTTTAAAATCTTAACATTTTCTTTTACTTACATCTTAAAGTGACACTAAACTCAGGAGTTAAAAGTAAAAATTGCATTCAAGTACACTATCTATTAACAATACTGGACCTTATATGTGTATCACAATCACCTGTAGATCCACAAATCATCTCTGAATTAATGCTGACTTTGTCCTTCTTTCTGGAGGGTGGCTACTTTTGTTCCCCATGGTCCCTGTGTGTTGTAAAGTAGCCACCGCTCCAAGCTCACTCCTGTGATAGACTACAATCTGAGTACAAATTGGTAAACTAAACGTGAGATTATAGTCCATCACTGGAGCGTGTTTAGAGTGGTGGCTACTTTACAACACACACAGGGACCATGGGAAACAAAAGTAGCCACCCTCCAGAAGGAAGGACAGTGGCAGCACCAATTCAGAGATGATTTGAGGAACTTCAGCTGAGTGATGCATAACTTAGTTACATTTTTGTTAATAGTTAAGGTATTTGAATGCATTTTTAAGATTTAACTCCTGAGTTTAGTGTCACTTTAACAAAGTGTAAGTGTACAGTAACCCAAATCAACCATTCAGTGGCTAGCTTGCTGTATATATAATGGGAAGTATAATCTGTTTATCATTTTTATTGGCGATGCAATGGACTAGATCTTCTATAGTGATAAGCAGGTAGCAGAGGGTTACATGCAGTAGCAGTCAGCGTGGCTTGCCGCAGAGAATTTAAGCCTTATTTGAAAATCTGTTTGATTCATTAATAATCTTTCCGCATGTGTCCTACAGAAAGGAAGCAATGGCTTCATTGTGCACACCATCAGAAAAAAAACATGCATGGATTGGGGGAAAAAGTTGCAGTTGGTTTAGGTGAATGCCACAAATATATCTTTCATGAACCAGAGATCTACCTGTGTATTGCCAGTCTGTGAACCCACACAATGTTGGTAAATAAACTTTCCTAACTTGAGGTTATGTTAAAGTAAGCATTGGGGGAAATCAGTTTATTTTCACTGGCACTAAATGCCCTGTTACATTTGCTTCATTCATTTTGCCTAATGAAGCCTTTTGCCTTTCCAGCTAAATAAGCATAGTGTGCCATTCATGCAAAAGTAGCACGCACTTGAAACATTCAAATACTTAAACATTAACATTACTTTTCTAGTCATTTCTCACTAGACTCACTAAACACATTTCTGGCACTGGCAGGCCATTCCTCATGTTCCATGTAGCAGAAGTTTGCTATAAAACCAGACACTTCTAAGCTACTGCGTTTTATAGGAGGAAAAAATATATAACTGATGGTAGATTATATGTTTGTACATGATAAAGGTTTAAACTCGCTGCCATTTTAATACAAATAACAGATAGTGAAAACTGCATATGTTGCTTTTTCTTGTTTGGCATTTGAGCTACCGTGATTGTTAAATGACAATTGGATCCAAACCTTTCCAACCACCTGCTTTTCACATTTTATAAAGCAAAAAGATCTCTTTGGCCCAAACCACTCACAGTTCAGTTTTCCTTGGTCCTAATACAGTACATGAAGGCATAAGCGCAGAGACAGTTGTAGCTGAGGAACTTCTGGACCTAAAGACCTAAAGCTAGTTTCTCATCAGTTAAAACTCACCATTACTCTTTGGCCTTTGGTCTAAACTTGTTCTGTATAAACTATTGTACATTTTAAAATTCATATATTTAGGTTGTTCAGTGTGCTGTCACGGTACAAGCAGATGGGCTTTGCTTGTGTACAATTTACTTAATGTAAAGCACACTTTAATCGCAAGTCTTCAGATTTCTATTGACTTCTGCAGTATGGATGACCATTTGGAGTCTGTTTGACTTGTTTTTCATTTTTTTGGAACAGCTGGCCCTACTCAGACCTGTTCCTGCTGCAAGCAAAAGCAGGTCAAGAGCAGAAATGTATTGGAATGCCACTGTGTTGAAGTGCAAAACGCAACATTTATATACAAAGCTTATTTACATGTGCTCTAATTTAACTGTAGTAGCACTGATCTCTGAATCTCTAGAAGTTTCATGTAACTATGTCTCTATTCTCTGATCATCGCCTGCAGCAAGTCTTCAGTCTCCAACTATTCCTATAGCATGTCTACAGTCTTTGACCATCTACTCTAGTATGTGCTCAGTCTATGATCATTTTCTCTTGCATTATATACAGTCAATATTATGTGTAGACCTTTGGTCATATTAGGGGCCAAATGGTGGAGCATTAGGTTTAGGGTTTCCACCTTTTCTTCCAGTAAAACCCGAACACTCTAGCGATGCACAGAATTGTTTTGGGGAGAATGAGTCGTGGCTTATTCATATGTAAATAGCGCCACCCATTCATATGTATATATCACAGTCGAGATATTAGTGTGGGGGCCAGTAGCCCCTATCTTAATTTTGGTTGCCCCTGTCTGCCTGACATCTTGTGTCCGGGTTACAGCTGCCATGAAACCCAGACACAGCATTCAAAACCCAGACTGTCCGGGTGAATCCTGGACAGGTGGCACCCCTAATTAGGTTTGAAAATGGACTGTACTAGTTGCAAGCAAAAGCAGGTCAAATGCAGAAATGTATTGGAATACCACTGTGTTCAAGTGCAAAACGCAACATTTGTATACAAAGCTCATTTACATGAGCTCTAAATTGACTGTACAAGCAGTGATCTCTAGATCTCTAGAAGTTTCATGCAACATGTCTCTATTCTCTGATCATCGCCTGCAGCAAGTCCTTAGTTCCCATCATTCCTATAGCATGTCTACATTCTCCGACTGGCTACTCTAGTATGTGCTTAATCTATGACCACATATTCCAGCATTATACATAATTAATATTTTGTGTATATTGTGTGTATATTTGTTTATAGCCTGGAAGTTACCTTATCTAGTAATTTGAACTCCACTGCTCTAGGCCTTCAGTTGGTTATCTTACAAGTCAGTTCAAAACAGGTACAGTGACGGTTCAGTTCCCAGCTTCCCCAAAGCTGCTATTGTTCATTACTAATTGAAGTACAGTAGCAATTTGTCTTCAGAACTAGGAGTTGGGTATCATTCATCACATGGTGACGATTGCTTCCTAAAACAGTATATGTACATGTAAAACAGTATGAGCTGTAACGAGTTCAATTTTACATTTGTCACAGCTAATTTTGTAAGGCTGACTATACCCATATGACAGTACTCACATGACTTGGGAATTATATTTTGTATGAAAGATTATTCCATAAATAGTAACAGTTTTGAAAATGTGAATTAAACAAATAACACGTTACAGTGCCTGATAACACACAACCAATGTTCCCAGGTACAGGAAATAAGCATGTGTATTAAGGTGTATAAATACACATTTTAAAAAATTGTCTGACAAAAAAAACCTGAAAAATTCCATCTCTGCCGATTGATTTTTCTGCAAATATTTGTCTACAGAAGATATTTAATATAAATAATATTTCTTTTTTTCTTAAATGAACAAATATTCAACTCAAAATTGTTTGTTTCGGCAGTCCACCATCTTAGTATTGTATACAAATAAATGCCCATAAACTGGTCATGCAGAAAAAGTATACTATTATGCAACACATAATATAAAGAACTCAAACAACCTTTCTTAGTTGAAAGCAAATCAACAACAAAAATCCATTACCATCATTTAAAATCCAAAAGTATAGAATTCTTCTGATGAAGCTGAGAGTCCTAAACAGCATGTTCTGGCTCTCCCTTGAATCTGGATGAGTGATGATATGTACACTTATTTTCATAATCGATTAGTTGGCCGATTATTAAGTTCGATTAATCGGATTAAAAAAAAAAAAAAAAACTGTTGCAGCTCTAGTACACTTGATTATGTTCTTCATCTGAAGAATTTTGTCATTTTCGGTATACATGATTTTATGGGTAAGGGTTGATTTGTTTTGAACTAATACAGATTGTTTGTTATCTTTATATATATTAGGTATTGGAATAAGAATGGTGTATGGCCAGTTTATAGTCATTGTTTGTTAATTTGATCATAGTTGTTGCCCTTGGTTAACGCTATTAGGCTTATTTATTAAAGGAGTGGAGGATCTTTACACAATATTCACTTCAATTATCCAATCACGTGCAGATGAAATAACGAAATGGGAATTTGCCTTTCACATGTTTGGATAATTGAATTGAGTATACACACTATCCCTGGAATTCATAACCACTGGAGCAGGCAGAATCTGGAGCAGTTGCCCATGGCTACTAATCAGCTTCTCTTTTCAGTTTGTTCAGTTAAGC